GATGACAATCAAAGCCGCACAATGTCGCTTGTTTGTCAATAACAATGAACTTTTTTTCCGAAATTACTGAAGGGAAATTCTTACGACTGAGAGTTGAAATAAATCGATGGAAAGTAAAGGAAAACCTTGATAAATTTGTGGAAATTTTAATAGATATTGAAGTTGGGATAGTAATAAAACTTCAATCAATCAGAAAAGCTGGAAAGTCAACCAGATTAGTGGAATTTTTAAACAGATTTTAAAAGCTCAAACAAAAAAAAAACAGCTTAAATAAATCACTCCAGTGAAAATCTGCCTGTCAAAGTCAGCAAAGTGTTTAGCACTCATTTGGAAATGTAAACCAAAGGCAATGCTTTTTGGTTTTCCCTTTTTCCCATTTTTTTTTTTCCATTTTACAGTTTTTGTTGTTTGGCTGTCATGTTGGTGCGCGCGGTTTGACATGTTTCTGCCACGCCCACGTCAAGAGCAAAGTTTTCCAATGATTTTCCCGACCGCATTTTGTTTTTCATTTCGTCTGCGGCAATTAGCAAATAACTCACATAATGTCCACCAATAGAAGAGACGAGATCCTGGCCATGGTAACGCCAGGAGGTCGTTGGAATCCCCGGTGAAATGCTGGATGGATATTGCTGTTGCTGCTGCTGCTGCTGGTGATTTTGGCCCTCTGCAAATTGATTGTGATTGCGTTGGCGATGCTGCTGCTGCTGTTGTTGCTGGATCTGATGCTGATGATTGTTGGTGTTGGCTGGCAGTGCACTAAAACTTCCATCAGCCAACTCAATGGGCTCCACCCCTTGCTGCAAATCGGTCGTCATGCCAGGCAAATTGAAATGCCATCGCAGCAATGACAAACGAAGCAGCCGCTCATGAATGTCTCTAAAGTCATGCCGAGAGCCAGATGAATATGGCATCGATATATCTTTCTCTATCTCTATCTATATATCTAGCTTTCTATATCAATTTCAATCTGCGAAAATACGCGCACGATGTCAAGTCTTCGAACTCAAAACAGACACTGATAAAGCGAAAACTGTCGCGTCTGGCAAAGTCTGTAAAAAAAAAACTGAAGTTTTCCATGAAACAGAAACCTTTAATTGAAGGCCAGCGAAATTTGAGGAAACGGCTGTCTTTACGACAATGGAAAGGAAAAATAAGTTTCATAGAACTAAAAATTTTTGTGTAAATAAAAGATTCTTTGGTAATTTAAAGGGGAGTTATGGAAAGTCAAGAAATATGTGTCGTGTTATGTAGCAATTTCTGGGAATTTAATTTCGCGACAAATTTCTTTATTAAAGCTTTACTTTTGCCAAAGGTTATAACTTACACTCTTTATGCTTATTTATGCTTATTTTTCATGGCAAAACCAAAAAGTAATTATTGTTTATGAGCATTTTGGCCCCCAGTTTTCCCAATTTTCATCTACATTTTGTTTTTTGGCGTGGGCCAAGCCAAAAAAGGCAGTGCCTAAGGTTTATTTCTCAAAGCCAAAGCTTTATTTAAAACCTCAAATTTCTGTTTATTTATAAATCCGCCTGGCCGCTGCCACTTCATCAAAATTATAATACACTTTTGTCAAGGCAGCTGTAGAAATAATAAAAAAAAAACCGTAAACCTTTTTTTTGTGATGGTAACCAGAGAATAATAAAAGAGGAGAGAATAAATAAATAAATAAAATGTTGGCAATTATTTAGGCTTTTAACATGTCAGCCACGTGGCAGCCACAAAACGGAAACGGAAGCAGAGAGACCCTCACACAGAGCTCACTCACACACTCTCAAACATAAAACGAATTGAATTTTGATTTGGGTTTTGGCCCAAGAATAAACCTTACATATGTTTCCAGCAAAAAAAGGAAATTTGATCGCAGTGAAAAATGTATTTAATTGGCCAAAGAACATTTCCCAATTTCATTTTGTAATGAGTTCGATTTGAGATGAAAATAGAAAAGTCAAGTTCCTAGGGCGAGATAAATCTAATCAAATCAAAGTCAATTCCAAAGCTCAATCGATTGCCATTTGTTTAGCCTTTCAATTATCCAAGGAAACGCAACAATCAAAGGCAGCTTCCTACCCTACCCCCTACCCCCTACTCTAAGAAAAACTCTATAACTAATTTGGCAAATTTAACAAAAGGCGAGAGAGAGAGACCGACGACAGCGACAGAGAGCTGAGCAAACAAAGTTAATTACAATAATGAAGCTAATTTAGACCAAAAAAGGCAAAAAGGAAAACCACAAATTAGGCCAAGAATAACGGCAAAGGACTTTTCGCAGGTGGAATGAGCTACAGAGAGAGGGGGGTTTTCCCCGGGATGAAACTTATCTCAATCTGAGACGCATTTTTCAGCGTTTTCTGCTCTTTGTCAACTTGCCTTTGCGGTTTCTCCTAGCTGCCTTCTCACAACCCTCTTGAGGTCAACTAAAAATACTTTTTGGCTTTTATAATTTATGGCACGGTTGGCCAGAATCAACAACCCCCATTATTTTTATGCCAACTCCACCCAGTCCCAACCCCTCTCACTTCACTTTATATTTAATTAGTGCGTGTGGCTGGGGGCGTGGGAGGTGCTTGTCCAACCTCTTTCGGTGCGTGAGAACTCGCGAAAAAGTTATTAACTGCCACTAATTATACATTTTTCAAGTGATACGCATTTATATTCATGCACTTTCCTTTTGGCATATATATATATATTTTCTTCCCTGCCTGATCCTGGGGTCCTTGCCATAAAAAGCTTTCCTGGTAATTAATGCTACATTTTTCTTCTCGTTTCGTTTTGGTACGCGACTCTTTGGCGCTCTCGTCTTAATTACACTGGATTATAAATATTAAAAACGGAAGCAGTTGCCAGTAATCAGGACATCGAGCAGCAGCAGCTAAAAGGAAGTCCTTCCACAGTGCGAGAGAATTTGAGAAATGGCTGCTTAATGAGACTAGAAAAAAAAGGGGGTAAACAGCAGAAAAAAACTCCCCGGATATCAGGTTGAAATAATCAAAAAGTAAAGGAAAATAGAAAAGCTAAAAGATTTTATCTTCCAGAACAAACAATTAGTTGGTAATTAAAAGGAGTGAAGTGTGTATGGGAAATGAAAGAGGATTATTAGGAGGATTAGAGAAGGTTCTCTATTCGAAATGGTAAGAAATAATCTTTCTACTGGCACTTAAAGAAGTTTTCAGCAATATTCAAATTCTTAATATTTCCTTTTTAGTAACAGAACACCACATCACATACTTTCACGACCCATTTTGGAGTATAGAAACCCAAGTATCGAATATATGTGACAACAGCTGTTAGTGTCAGGCAGCTGAAAACATCAAAATCTCATGTTGCCAAGAACAATTTCAGTCTTGAAAACCGAAAGGGAACAGCCAAACCATTTGGCAGCAGCTGTTTATAGCATTATATAGAATTGCCTGAAAACTTTATCGTAACATAAAAAAACAAAACACACGTATAAAATCTAGTCTTAAACTAACGAGGGATATTAAGTTGGTATGCGCTCTGAATAGTGAACAATGCGGCGTATACGCAATATTGAGTGGTACACTAAAGGCATTCTTTCAAGCCGTTTTTTGCCACTCAAGTTGGCCAGATGATGACGATGATAATAATAATGCAGAACCAGAAATAGGACAACAAAAAAAAAAAAAAAACCCCATAGAAGTCTCTCATACTTGAGAACAGGTATGGCCGAGGAACTTGACATATGCCAAGCCAAGGCAGCTAAGCAAAAATAAGTGGAGGTGGAATTCCAACAGGAAGGGAATTCCAACCATGCCCACCACTTCACACAGCACTGAGCTGGCTCAACTTTGACATTTCTCTCGCTTTCCCTATCTCTTTCGCACACTTTTTCTCAGACTGCCCCCGTTCCGACCATTTCTCCCCTAGTTTTGGGTGAGCGAAAACCCACGGACATTTCCCTGGCAAACACAATGGAATGTCCACGGCATGTGGCAGTCAGATGTGTGGGCGTGGCGTTCAACTTGTTTTTGCCGCAAAATGATTTATGACAATGCATTGAAAAGTTCGTTCTAGGCTGTCAACCAGGGAGGGGAAATGTCAATAAGGGAGCAGAGCCAGTCCAGAGGCGATAGAATTCTGAGTAGGAGAGTCAAGTCCTAAGGACAGCGCAGATGTACACAGGGAGAAAATGTGCCCAAAATGTTATAGAACACAAGGGATTGTGTGTTGAAAGTAAAGTTCAGAAAGTATCTTCTTAGTTTTCCAAGTGCATTTCTTCCTTTTTTCAAATCTATTAAACTGATAGCCATCTCTACTCTACTCTACTTTTTATCAGATTTTCAATTTGCAGCTAGAAATTGTTTAAGGCCTTAAATGTAGAGGCAAACTGTCAGGGAAGCTGGCAGCCAAATGCCAATAAGTTGTCATGTTCCGACGACAGCTGCAGCATCTCACACATCCTGCCGCATCCATCCATCCATCTATCCATCCATTCCAACCATTCCACCCACATCCATCCCTTCTGCCCGGGGCCACTTACACGTTCGTTGAGAATGGCCAAAGACTACGGGCTACGTCTTTTGGTTCACATTTACACACATTATTCAGTGGGATGCAGTGTACGGATGGGTGTTGGGTGTACAAAGGAGTGCTATCCTGACGCCTGATCACGTCCCTCATATGCCACAAGACGCTGCACACACGCTGACACAATAATGTCCGCAACGTAACACCCAAACGCACCTGTCCCAGGCTCACCTGTATTCTCCAACCACACTTCCTCCCAGGGAAAACCCCTCAAAACTATACCAACCATTTCCGCTGGCATCGCTGCCATTGTCGTATTTGTCTTATGAACTGTCAAACTGACATTCATTGACGCTTGACGTGTAATAAACGAAACATAACGAAAATGAAATGAAATGAAATGGTCGAGATGGCGTGGGTTAAACAAGGATGAAGGGTAGTGTGAACCATTTCCAACCGGAAATATCATTTTTCAAAACATTTTATGCTTGTCCAGCTCTCATGATTTTAAGTTAATTGAATTTTAGACCGCAAAAAGTGGCAAAGAATTAAATAGTTAACTGAAGTTTAAACATAATGAACATAAATTAAGATATAGGAAAATACATTTACTACCCCTCCCATTCTGAAATATATAACTCAATCAGTGCGAGTGAAATTCCATTAGCCGAAAAACCATTCAAAATTCCAAGAATCCCAGCAACCTCCCAAAAAAAACCACCAAGGCTAACAAATCTGTAGGTTAGGGAATGGGAAAGCCAAGCGGATTTCAGATCAAGAGGCGGTGTGGAAGACGGATAACAGATTCAGGTGGATGGCCACCATGGCAAATGTCGAAGCGAATTTTTGCACAATGCAAACATAATGAGTTTGGGGAAATGCAAATAATTCGCAATGGAAATCATTATTGAGCACTGAACCAGACGACAAGCGCAGAGCGCTTAGAAAATGGCCAAATAGAAAGGTTGCCAGGCTTGGGCTTCGCTACACAGTGGTCATCATGATGGCGGGTACGGAACAAGAGGAGTTGAAGTTTTTCCTATTCACTACGGCTGCATTGGCATGGCTTCTCCCCATGGACTTCGGTGCAGCACCGAAAATGGAAAATGGAAAGGAAAATGTTTAAGAGCCAGTCCAGTTTTCCCAATGCACGGAAAGATATTGAAGTAAATTCTTCTTTTATTAAGAAAGTAACTTAATTTTTGCATATTTTCTTAGGTAACACTTTTTCGCTCAGTGTAATCATAGGCAGTAATGGGCGGCGGCAGCTCGTTGAGTGGGTGAGAGCCAGGCGATAATCGTTAAGCGATTTCGCTTCCTTTTTCGTTTGTTTAATGAAGTGTTTAAAATTTACGATTCAAGCTAAATTTATTGCACTCCGAGTAGATATCGAAAGGAAGTCCGTGTCCAGACGGGCCAACCCCACAAAAAAAAAATGAAAAATCTCAGAAGAGAAGAAGAAGACGGGAAAGGAATCCCCTTTGATGGCTGCTCGGGGAATCAATCTCACATGAGCTCCAGAGAAAAAAAAAAGGGGAGTGTGTGTGTGGGTTGAAATGGTATCCTTGCTGATTGGATGACACGAAATAAAAACGTTGCACACAACGAAATTGTTAATAGCACTGTACTCGGTGTTTGCTCTCCCTCTCTCTCTTTTGCTCTTTCTATATATTTTTACCCGAAAACCCACTCGTTTGGTAAGCCAATTACGTGGATACCACACAGCGACAGGAGCAAAAACAAAAGGACAATAAAGGGCTCGCTCGTAAATGCCATCAAAGCAGCTTAGCTAAGCAGAGTGACTCTGACTTCGACGACGAGGTTCCCCAGTTGATGATGGCTGATACCTTCTCAACGTTACGTTACGTATACGCTGCTTTGGTTTTCAATAAACCGCACGCTACACACACACACACACACACACTGATAGCAGCGGAAAATAAACCAAACTTGATGGCAGCACAAAAATTCTTTGCATACTTTTCCGGGACCCACTCAAGTGGCAAGCAACAAAACCAGAAAAAAAAACAAGAACTTGATGAGCTTTCCAATTACATTTAGCTTTTGTGCCTGTGTTAACTGTCTCTTCTGTTGGCCGGATAAGAAATTAACTGCCATTCTCGTAAAAACCAAAAACAACAAAAATGGCCCTCAACTGATTTCCACTGCTGACTTGGCTCGAGCACAATAAAAATTATCATAAGTTTGCCATCCTCCCATGTGAGTGAGCCACCGCCCCTCCCTCTCTCTATTGCCCAAGCAGAGCAGCAGAAGTAAACGCAATTTGTGTAATGAAAGTAGAGTGGGTTTTTCCAATGTGGTTTTGTTAGGTGCTCTTAGGCCAGATCAAATCTTTCAGCAGGTGAGTCAGAGTCAATTGATGAAAGGAGCGGCTAATGAAAGGTTGGTTAAGTGCTGAGATAAGTGATTTTTATAGAATGGAAGTGGTTAGGTTTATACAGGAAAACCATGAGGTACAAATTAAGTTGGAAAGGTTCATTCATTGGTAGGTTAGTTCACTTTTTTGTTTCAACGAAAAGCTATGTTATATAAGAAACCGTGAAAGCTAATCATAGACACCTTTCAACTTAGTTAACTGCCTGTCACAACCTTCAGAAATGCCTTTCATCAGTAACTACCAACGATAGGCAAACGAACAATCGGAACTTCTACAAATTATTTGTAATAAACTAAAAAGTTTATTTCGTTTCAAAATCCTTGTAAAATGGCCAATCGCATGAAAGGAGGAGCCTGCTGTCCTTCAGGATATCCCTGTGGGTGTCCGCCTGCCTGTCCACCTGCCCCCTGTGCACCCTGTGATGCACCGTAAGTTGGAAAGTCAACTTTTATCTTTCCTATATCTCAGCCTTCCTATACAGCCTGGTTCGTTTGGACAAACTATGGCCGGAGCCCTATAATCCCTGCTCCTTTAAGAACTGCCTGATCTTCGGTGGCCATGATGAGCCCTACTTCAGACCCTTTGATCCCAAGGAGTGTGCCCGAATGCGACGCAGTGACATCGACCGGTCCTTGGGTTATCCCATAGGAGTAGTCTGTGGTACAATACCCGTCAAGGGGGGTATTCCAAACCAGGAGAGCGTTCGTTTTGCGGGAAATCTAAAAGCCTTTGCTCATTCCTATTACACGCGGCGTGATGAATGGAAACCGGAGATGATCGACATGGTAGTGAACGAGGGTCAGGTTTTGTACAATGATTCCGAGAATATGCCGATGCCCAATCCGGTAGAATCTCCTGATATTTACGATGAGAATGAGCAGAAGGTGACGCGTCACTTTAAGATAAACGAGATTGAGTTTGCCATGGAATTGGAGGCGCCCTTTGAGATCTATGGTTATCCTGGCATTATACAGAATCTCCGAAGAATCCTAAGAGCCTTTTTCAAGAAGTCAAAGTATGGCGTCTTCTATACACCTGATTGGTATCTACTGATTTGGAAGGAGAAAGGTGTTTGGATGGTAATGGATCTGAATGGCAGGGACAAGAGCACCATGAGGCCAAACTATGAAGAGGGCTTTCCCTTGCTGTTGTGCCTCAAGTCTTTGGACAATGTGATCTGGCTGATCAAGAAGGAGAGTGATCTGGAGAAGACGGCTAAGTTTACCATTAGGGAGATTCTCGTGGTTCGCCTGGCCACGCCGGGAAGCACAGGACAAAGTTGGGAACGGGAATATGGCATGCGTATGAGCCAGTTCGATGTTATAGCCTCGGACTATGCGTATCTCAAGTCGAATTTACATCTCACTCTTAACTCCAAGGATGCTCTGAGGAATCGTAGTGCACTACCAGTGGCTGTGGCTACGGCTTTAGCCTCCAAAATCGACCATCCAGCCACTTGGAATATGAAAATGTACGACAAGGTCATGTGCTATGGCGTTAATATGTGCAAAAACTGCTGGGAACCCTGCACGGATCTTAATAAGCCCATGGATCTTGACGATTTTCCACGACAGATACGCATGGGTCAGTTTGTGGCCGAGATTATGCTGACACCAAATGTCTACGAGGGCTGGTGGAAATGTGTGCCAATGTACAAGTTCAATGATTTCCATTTGATGCTGGAAAAGGCTCTCGATCAGAATGATTATATCATCTTCCAGATCAACAATCAAATGTATTCGCTGTGGAAGAAGTCGAACTTCATCTATCTAATGGATCCCTATCGTCATAACATTGTGGGTCGCATTCTGGAAGAGGGCGAGGATCCGAAAAGTGCCTCCGTTCGAATGTTTGGCAATATGGATCGCCTCTTGAGTGTCTTTCATCAGATTCTTTTGGAATCTAATCGATCTGCCATATTCCATATTCATACTCTCAGGATAAGAAACATCACGGAATGTCCACCGGGCACAGCTCCTGCTCTACTGCCTCCTGATGAGGATGTCGAGGTTAGATCTCTCAATGAGAACATTCGCTTTGAGGAGAACTACGACAAGTGTCTGGAAGAGCTGGGCGAGATTAGTGACTTTGAGGAGGATCTGGTCTCGGAGATCGAACCCATTGTGGAGATCAGTTCTTCGGAGGAGATGGTGGAAGAGGAGGAAGGCGGTGGCGGTGGTGTTGTCGAAGGAGGCGAAGGCGAAGACGATGATGATTAGCTTTGAGGAACTTTCTTTGATTAGGCCATGGATTCAACAAATTCTTGTCATACTTTTTTACTTTCTACAAAATCTTGGATTTATGTCTTAAATATTTCATTCACTGATCAAATTTTAATATATAAATTAAGAGTTAAATTAGAAACCTAAACTATGGTTTCAGTAGCTTCAATTTATCATTTACAGCTTTGCTTTTCCATATCCAACTTTGTCTCGACCTGTTATCCTTTCTTCTATTTTCGTTTTAACAAGCACACGCGCGACAAGAGGAAAATGTATGTGTGTTCGGGAAAAGCAGGAAAATAAAAAGAAAAAAGCTGGTGTGAGGGTACGCGTAAAACATTTTGAATTAAATGTCACGTTGTCGGTGGAAAATCGCTTGTTCAGCGAGACAGCAGCGACAACAAGAGAGGATCTGGCTAAAATAGTCACAGGACGCGGCGGCTCCTTGAAGCGTTGGCCTCTCTATGTTATTGCCACCTCTCGACAAGCAATGGGCGGCGGTGGTGGGCAATGGGCGTGGTCCGTGTGTGTGTGTCATTAAAAACAGAACAGGTGAAAGCAAAAAAAAAAGAAGAAAAAAACGAAACGAAACGAGCGCTACGGGAAGCTGATGCCGGCGGCCTGCTGAGGAGCCTTACCATTTTCCCATTTTCCCCAGGAAAAACCGAACGAACACATAGACTGGGGCATCAGTCACTTAGACAGCAGGTTACCTGTTCGTTCTCTCCAACCCCTACCCCTATCTCACCTGTGCTTATTTGCATGGCTGACAACAACATTGTCGTTGCAACCGGGAGACATTTCTGTCTTTATTTTGCATTCGAGCGGTGGATTCTTCTCTTCTTCTCGCTACCCCCAGCGACATTTCACAGAAAGTCGACAGCGCGAAATTAATGGAAATTTAAAAATTGCATTTTTCGACATCGCCCAGCAAAGGCGAAAAAGGACTGACATTGTGGTCTCGCCTGTCGCTGAGAGATAATAGAGACGACAGGTTGAGTAAAATGCTTTTCAAGTTTCCAAAAGGGGGGGACGGGGGGGTCTTCGTTCTGCTGGCATTGCCAATGGCTTAAATTCCAGCTTTTACCTTTATTAACCATTTCGTTATTAATTAATTGAATTTTCGGCTTACCTGCAATGAAAGAGAGAAGAGAAAGCATAGTTAGTTTGGGTTTTATTATGCACATTTCATATATTTATTATAATAAATTGCATTCACTCAAATACAATTAAAATTTCATCAACTGAACAATCAAAGTGGACATTATGAAACGAAAAAAAAAATCCTGCCATATCCTTGTTATAGCTTGTTTGAATTTTCCTTTTTATATATTTTTTTTCCCCCTGTTTGCTGATTGCATTAATTTTTAATTTTGCGTGTAAATATCGTGGCAACACGTCTCTCTTTCGTTCCTGCTGCTGCAAAATTGTTGGCGCAATTAATTTGTAGTTTTACCTATGCCACGCCCCCATGCTCAACTGTGGTAATTAAACTGCGGCTGCCACGCCTCTATAGCCCATATGGCGTCATATGTCAACGACAGCACCAACGAACAGCAAACAAACTATGCAAAACAAAAACCTGAAACCCAGAAAAGAAAACCGGCAAAAAGTAAACAACAAACTGGACACAGTCCGCAGGACAATTCAGAGGCAAACTGTTGGCTGGGGGAGTGAAAGAAAGAGAGGTACCGGGGGTTTGTCGCAATTTTCCTGCTAAGTGCACATGATAAATTAATGATTGAAGGTTCGTAAAGGTTCGTATGTGTATATTTGCTGGCAAATCGAAGGTAGACTTCGCCTATGACAAAGTGATTAATTGTCAGACTGCGCCAGCAAAAAAAAAGAAGGTGGGGAAATCAGTGGCTTTCTGTAACTAAAGCAGGCTTGTACATATATAGCTATATATATCCTATATACGTACATCGACCCTTCATAGGTAATTTGTGCACTTTTTGACGTTGCTGGTCCCAAGAAGCCTGGCCATGTAAATAAACCTGAGGCTTAACACCCACCTACGCTTGTGTGTTAAGTGTTTCTGGGGGTGTGAATTTTCCTCTTCTCTTCTCCTCTCTTATTTCATTTTCCCTCTTTGGCTGCCACAAAGTCAAAGCAGACGTCGTTAGAGTTCGCATATGAGCAATACTGACTAATTGATTGGACAAATTTTGCCAAGAAAGTATGAAGCTCAATTTTGTGGGCGATTCTGGGGTTAAATGGGCTTCAAATGAAAAATAAACGGTATACGTAGGCAGTAATTTAAGGGGGAAAATTACGTATACGCAGTGTGGCAGTAAGAAAATTTTGTAAAATGCATAAAAAAGCCTTTTAAGTTTAACTTTTATTTTAAAAACTTGATTTTTTAGAAGATTTTCTTATAAAGTTATTAATAATATGATTTTTAGATGTCTAAAGACACAAAATTATTAAAAATAATGATTAAAGTTTGATTAAAGATTAAATAAAGTGCAAAATAAATTACTTTTTAGTCTTAAAACCCCAAAGCATTTTTTTAAACCAACAACCAAATGTTAAGCCTTGGTACACTTTTCACTCTCCTCCGAAAAACAAAACTTAACCAATTGTAAATTTTAAGTTCAGCCCAAAATGCCAGAACCGCAAATGTAATGTAAAAAACAAATTTACATTAACTGACAACGACAGTAACTATGTGTAAACAATGGCAGCATGCAAATAATTCCCACAGCAACAGCAACCAAAAACTGCAACTGCAACTTTGACAGCCAACCAACAGCAGCAGAACCACAAACTTTGCGATTTTCCAACCAAATCAATGTGCAGCGAGGAAAGTTTTAGGGCCAACAAAAAACTTGGAAAACCTTACCCAAGGGCATAGGAAAAGAAATATTGTTTGATTTTAGGGAAATTAACAAGAAAATGTTTAAGAAATTAGAAATTAAAAGAGCAAAAAGTGTATCTTAAAGACTTTTATAACTTTAAAGTCAAGAAGAAAGTTCAAGTTTGTTTTGATTTATACATTTTATCTCAAAGTGCATTTAAGCAAACAAAATAAAAACCATTAAACGCAAAATACATTTAAATACATATCGACGTGAGGCAAGTGAAAACAATAGCCATCATGCTCCATTAGATACCAACAAAGTTGCCTCGGGCAGAAATGCATTTTAAATAAATTGCATTCTTCTGCAATAAATTCTAGTTTTTCAGTTTTTCATATTAAAGCTGAACATTGTTTTTGTATTTTACTTAATATTGTTGCTGTCTGAAGGGTAGGTAGGGGTAGGTAGAAAATCCAGCTAATATGCAAATATTTGCTTTAACCTGCTGGCGGGCATAAAACAAATATCCCAAAGAGTTGCATAGATAAAACAAAACATAGCTGGGAATTTTTCATACCAAACAAAGAACAAAAAAAAAAGAAAAGAGTGGAAAACAAAGCAGGAATAATAACGAGTTTTATGAGAAGGATTTCCATATATGTAAGAGTATGCATGTGGGTGGAATATTGCCACCACAACAACTGCAATTGCAGCTAAAAGAAAACTCTGTTTTCCCTTTTATTTTTTTGCTCCTGCTGCTGCTGCTAACCACCACACTTCAACTCGCAACAATAACAAGGAACCGTCAGACGATTGTCCTTTGGCCATGGCATCATCATCATCGTCATCCTCCCAAGTCCTTTGGCATGTTGGCCATAGAATCCTGTCCACCAAAACAAAGTAAAAAAAGGACTGTCCCTGCACAGTTAACGGTATTTGCATGTAATTAAATTTTCCACTCGGCAACTGCAAACTGCAGCTGCTTTCTCCTATTTGCACAGAACTGAATAAAAACTGTAGCTTCGTTTTGATGGCAGAATGGTGATGGTGTTTCTATTGCCCTCTGCTGGTTCTTTTTTTCCTCTCCACTTCTTTTTTTTTGTGTTTTTGATCAGAAGGTGACCTCATCATGCTGGCCAGAAGTTCTGCTATTAAGTTGGTAATGGCCACAAAGTGATGCCAAATGAACAAGGACAGAAATCGAAACGAGACATGGGAAATATCAAACTGGGAAAGGACTTTAAAAACAGTTAAAAGTCTTGAAAAACTTTGAGTTTTGATATTTCAAACCTTAAACCCTTTAAAAAGTCTCCAAAAGAAGTACCTAACTCTTTTCTCGCATCAACGTTCGAGAACTTATTGCCAATGAAGTTTTTCCCTCACTGACCTTTAACCCTCAATCGTGCGAAATACAATTTTCAATTATCGAGAAAGATCTCTGCAATTTTCCTGCCAACCCACAAACAAATGCAAATCAATTTTCCGGCAAGGAGCCAGGCAATCAACTCGGCCAAAAGGAGAACGAAACAATGCCAGCAAAAACAGCTAATAAAAATAAGCCAAAAATATATAAACAACAATTGGCTAGAAGAGGAGGAGAAGGCAACCGCAAAAGCAGAAAACATTCCACATGCGAAAAAGCGGAATCAAAATGTGGGGCGTGGCAAGAGGTGAGATGTGGGGAGGGGAGTAGACGAGTGCCCAGAAGCTAGATTGAAGCACAGTAAACATTTGGCCATTTTGGCGAATGAACTTTTTATGAGGCCAAGCAAAAAGGAGGAGCAGCAGCAGCAGCAGCCAGCTGAAAGCTAATCCCGACTAAACAATTTTCTTGGCCACACCAATTTAATGCTGCTGGCTCAGCGGTGGGCGGGAAAAATAACAAAATGAGCTCGAATCGAATTCAATTCCAACACAAAACCCAAAACACTCGATATAAAGCAAAAATTTCTATTAAACCAAATTGTTGCAAGCGCATAATAAAAGTCAAAGAGAAGGAAAAACAATGAGGCGAAAATTATTGGTGGCAAGCAAATGGGTAAATACTCTTGCTGTTCTGGGAAAAGCTGCCAAAAGTCGCTGTTGCTTGGTGGATAAATAAGGAAATAAATTTTAGGAAATTAAATGATAAAGATAGAAGTGATTTTTGAATAAAAGATGAACATTAGAAGCTTATGACTTCTTTTAAAAATATTTTTTGAAGAATTTTTAGGAGTTTGTTTAAATTTCATGAGCAAAAAAAGAGTTTGTAAACATTTTTCTTCCTTTTTTACGCTAAAAAGCATTTTTTTAAATATTTTTCTACAAAAAGAAAACATAAATAATTATAATGATTTAAATTTTTGTA